CCACAGGTCATAAAAGGGCCTAGTTTGAAGACCCCTGGACTAATGGAACATTACATTAAAATATAGTAAACTGAGACGAAAAAAGAAAATGGTGATAGAAAAAAAAGAGAAAAGAAAAGAAGAGAATACATATAAAAAAATGGCTTCCAACTTTCCATACCTTCCAATCTTTCGGTAGTTATGTATAAAATTATAACCAAATTTCTTTAAGATGACTTTGTAATTCCCTCCTTTCCATAACCTGTTCTTTCTACTTTTTAAAATCATAACTCTCAAACGCCTTTTCTTTTTTATGCAAAAGATCCATAAATGGTTTCCAGTCATTGATGAATGTCAATAATCATCTTTCTCTAATCAAAGAAGTCAGTTTGGCCACCTCAACAAATTCTGTCAATTTCTGCAGCCATTGCTCCCTTCGTTTGTAGCTGAATCTTTCTATCTTTGTGCCTAGAATATATTTCCCCACAGTAATCATATACTAAAATAATCTTCCATGCCTTTTTTTTCCTAACCATATCTATCCATTTCTGCACCATCTAGAATTTTCTTAATTAAGTCTTCTTCAGTTGGTGTTTCATCATTTTTCCAATATTGAGCAAATGTCATTCTCACTGCTCTTAGTAAATGTAATATTAAATATACACATTCTTTGTCATAGTTTTCTGAAATTATACCTAAAAGAAATAGTTCCAGTTTATAGTCTACATGTTTTCCTAACATTTTCTCTAACCACATATGTATTTTTGACCAACTTTTTTTGCTTTAGGGCATGTCCACCAAAGGGGGGAATATGTGCCTGGCTTTTGGTCTACAATTGCTAGACATATTTTTAAACATTTTTGCTAGTGTTGCAGGTGGTAAATGCCATCTATAAAACATTTTATATGCATTTTCTTTGTAAGTAGCTGCCCTTGTTATTTTATAGTTTCTTTCCCACAGGTTTTGCCATTTTTCTAACTCTACATTGTGCCCAAAGTTTTTTGCCCAAGTTATCATTGTTTCTTTAACTTGTTCATCTTCCATCTTTAAATTTAACAGAAAACTACAGTTCCTTAATCAGTTTTTCCTCTGTTGACAATAGTATCCGGTCAAACACTGTCTGATCTTTATAAAAACCATATGTTTTGGCATCTTTCTCATATCTCATCTGCATTTACAGATACAGTTCAAATATTTTGAAATCTTTCTTAAGTATTAATAATAGTAGTAAAGTTGGAAGGGACCTTGGAGGTCATCTAGTCCAACTCCCTGCTCAGGCAGGAAACCCTACACCATTTCGGACAAATGGCTGTCCAGTCTCTTCTTAAAAACTTCCAGTGTTGGAGCATTTACTGCTTCTGGAGGCAAGCTGTTCCACTGATTAATTGTTCTCACTGTCAGGAAGTTTCTCCTTAGTTCTAGGTTGCTTCTCCCCTTGATTAGTTTCCACCCATTGCTTCTTGTCCTGCCTTCAGGCGCTTTGGAGAATAGCTTAATTCCCTCTTCTTTATGGCAGCCCCTGAGATATTGGAATACTGCTATCATGTCCCCCCTTGTCCTTCTCTTCGTTAAACTAAACATACCCAATTCTAGCAACCGTTCCTTATATGTTTTAGCCTCCAGTCCCCTAATCATCTTTGTTGCTCTTCTCTGTACTCTTTCTAGAGTCTCAACATCTTTTTTACATCGTGGTGACCAAAACTGGATGCAGTATTCCAAGTGTGGCCTTACCAAGGCATTGAAGAGTGGTATTAATACTTCACGTGATCTTGATTCTATCCCTCTGTTAATGCAGCCTAGCACTGTGTTGGCCTTTTTGGCAGCTGCAGCACACTGCTGGCTCATATTTAAGTGATTGTCTACTAGGACTCCGAGGTCCCTCTCACAGTTACTACTATTGAGCATGGTGCCACCTATGCTGTACGTGTGCATTTGGTTTTTCTTGCCTAAATGTAGAACCTTGCTTTTTTCACCAGTGAATTTCATTTTGTTAGTTAGTGCCCAGTGTTCAAGTCTGTCCAGATCCTTCTGTATCTGAATCCTGTCTTCTGGAGTGTTGGCTATTCCTGCCAGCTTGGTGTCATCTGCAAATTTGATGAGTTCCCCATCTATCCCTTCATCCAAATCGTTGATGACGATGTTGAAGAGTACTGGGCCCAGAACAGAGCCCTGGGGCACCCCACTACACACTTCCCTCCATATAGATGCAGTTCCATTGAGGACCACTCGCTGAGTACGGCCGGTCAGCCAGCTACGGATCCATCTGGTGGTGGTTCTGTCTACCCCACATTTTTCTATCTTGTCAAGTAGTAGGTTGTGATCTACTTTATCAAATGCCTTACTGAAGTCCAAGTAAATTATGTCCACAGCGTTCCTCTGATCCACTAATTTTGTCACTTGGTCAAAGAATGCAATAAGATTTGTCTGGCATGATCTATTTTTGACAAACCCATATTGGCTTTTAGTAATGACTTTGTTTTCCTCTAGGTGTTCGTTGATTCGTTGTTTGATTATCTTTTCCAGGATCTTCCCAGGTATTGAGGTCAGGCTGATAGGTCTGTAATTTCCTGGATCCATTTTTTTTTCTTTTTTGAGGATGGGAACTACATCAGCTCTTTTCCAGTCCTCTGGTAGTTCCCCTGTGTTCCAGGATCTTTGAAAAATATAGTTCAGTGGTTCCGATATCACATCTGCCAGTTCCTTGAGAACCTTGGGGTGTAATCCATCTGGTCCTGGCGATTTGAACTCATCTAGGCTGGACAGGTGCTCACTTAACCATTTTCTTGCCTATCTTAACTTGTGTTTCTATTTTGTTTTTTATGGCACTATTTTTGATAGGTTGGTCTGTTTTTTCCCTTTGTGTAAAGACAGATGCAAAAAACGAGTTAAATAGTTCTGCTTTCTCCCTGTTGCTTGTCACCTTCTTGCCACTTCCACCCACTAATGGACCAATCATTTCCTTCACTTTTTTCTTGTTTTTTACATGTTGAAAGAAGCTTTTTTTGTTATTTTTGACTTTGGTCGCAAGCCTTAGTTCATTTTGAGCCTTGGCTTTCTTCACTTCATCTTTGCAGGCTCGGGCTATTTGCTGATAAGTCTTAATTCCTTGTTATGGATAGGTGATTAACTGTAAAAATAGGTTAAGATACCCAACTTCCTATTCCCAAAATAGATAACCAAGGACACCTGTATAAGCTGAGGGTCAACTTAGTCTTTAAAGATGTTTTTCAGTGAAGTAGTTCCTCCTTCAAATAGATTTGTCTTCTCTAAGAAAACTAACAAAAAAAACCCCACATCTTTGGAAGCTTCTGTAAACCATCTTACATAAACAACAAATATCATTTTTTTTTTTACAAAAAAATCCCTTCCTAAATCAGTTAAGATGACTGACACTATCTGGCAAAATTTTGTTTGCACTAAATTCAAAGCCACTCTCAGAATAAATTACTAAGGCTTGCTCATTGTTTATATAGAGCAGTCATAACAGCTGTCTTCTTGCACAAAAGATTTAAACAGAACCTGTTTCTGTTCGGGTGGTGACCCACTTTGAATCCCCTGCCTCAAACATTACTGTATGCTTATATTTGCAAACTACCATTAAAGTAACCGTCATTGAAGGTGATTCTCTGGCTGATCTTGAAAAAAAGCTGAGCAGAGTCTGGTCTGGGAGAGCACCAAAAACTCACAAGGCTGAAGACTGGACTATAGAAAAGCTATGTATTTATCATCTACCTGTTCATATGAGTAGTAGTAGTAGTTGTTGTTAGTTGTGAAGTCGTAACCGACCCATTGCAACCCCATGGACCACGTTCTTCCAGGCCTTCCTGTCCTCTACCATCTTCTGGAGTCCATTGAAGCTCACGCCTACTGCTTCAGTGACTCCATCCAGCCACCTCCTTCTCTGTCATCCCCTTCTTCTCTTGCCCTCCATCTTTCCCAGCATCAGGCCCTTCTCCAGGGAGTCCTTCCTTCTCATTAGGGGGCCAAAGTCCTTGAGTTTCCACTTCAGGATCTGGCCTTCTAAAGAGCAGTCGGGGTTGATCTCCTCCAGGACTGACCGGTTGGATCGCCTTGCAGTCCAGGGGACTCGCAGGAGTCTTCTCCAGCACCAGAGTTCAGAGGCCTCCATTCTTTGGCGCTCAGCCTTTCTTATGGTCCAACTTTCACAATACATTGCAACTGGGAAAACCATGGCCTTGACTATACACACTTTTGTTGGCAGGGTGACGTCTCTGCTTTTTAGGATGCTGTTTAGATTTGCCATAGCTTTCTTCCCCAGGAGCAAGCGTCTTTTAATTTCTTGGCTGCAGTCCCCATCAGTGATGATCTTGGAGCCCAGGAAAATAAAATCTGTCACTACCTCCATTTCATATGAGTAGTAGGCAATGACAAATAATTTGCATTCTCATGCCAAAAAAATGCTATGATCATCTAGGCTGTTGTCTAACGAAGTCAATAGGATTGAACTTGACTTGAACAACTTTTTTTTTGGCTTGATTTCTTTTTTATAAAGTCTAGAAATAAAACACAACTAGTGAAACAACAGGTTTTAAACCCCGTATAAAATTAACTTCATGTATTAAAGAAGAGTGCCTGGAATACAAGGTGATAGGAGTTAGATAAAATGGTGCTATGCGCATTTTAAAACTTTTAAGCCTGTTCTCAACCTTCCATTCCAGAAATATTAGATTTTTTTTTAATGAGTTGAAATCATTATGGCATTAGCTGGCTAGAAATCATTTTTCCCCCCTCTCTTGTTTTTAGTAAATCTACCTGCAGTAGTAGAGAATGCTGATTAGAAAATGGAATTCAAAGTCTGTGTGTCTGAATTTTGTAATGTGTGATGCTTCCTTTACAAATATGCCAATAATCTGTTTCTTTATTCTAGACTCTGATAAAAAAAAAACCACTCTAAACACACTGCTTTTCTTTCACGATACACTCTTCCTCCCAGAATTATAATAAGCCTCCTGATATTTGATCAGTAATAGCAGATAACTTACATTTTATTTACTAACCAGATGGCTTGACAAAAATGAAGATGATGGACAGATTGTTCGAGAGCTGATTCCAGATGGGAGATCGTCTATGCTGGAAAGTGAGTTTGCTTTTCATTTGTGTTTTACTCCGTGAGAAACACATTTTTATCATTTCCATTGGCTGAATCACATCCCTGCCTAACAGATGCCAAAAAGACATTTCTATCCTGTTGAGTTCACCGCTGCTCAGTTTGTTTTAATTCATGATAAAATTCTTTCAGAGGTTTATTTATTTATTTTCTTATCTATGGGTGGAGTTCACATAGTTACTGTCATCATATTATATACCGACTGTATCGTCCAACATGCTTAATCAATGGGCTTAAAAAAAAATAGTGGCTGCATTCAAACCAGCTTGGTTAGTAATCTTCATCAGGGTCCAGTCCAAGCCGGGAATAAACAACATGGAGACTGCTTTAGAAAGAAGTCTGTAGTATATTCCCGGCTTGGACTGGACCCAGGGGGAAGACTACTAAGATTACTATGTCTGATTTAATGAAGAGAAGGACGAGGGGGGACACGAAAGCAGTCTTCCAGTATCTCAGGGGCTGCCCCAAAGAAGAGGGAGTCAAGCTGTTCTCCAGAGCCCCTGAAGACAGGACCAGAAGCAATGGATGGAAAATAATCAAGGAGAGAAGCAACCTAGAACTAAGGAGAAATTTCCTGACAGAACAGTTAACCAGTGGAACAACCTGCCTCCAGAAGTTGTGGGTGCTCCATCACTGGAGGTTTTTAAGAAGAGATTGGACAACCATTTGTCTGAAATGGTATAGGGTCTCTTCCTTGAGTAGAAGATTGGACTAGATGACCTCCAAGATCCCTTCCCAAACCTATTATTCTGAACCTGTATTAAGTATGTTGTCTCAGAGAGTGGTATATTTGTTTCCTGCTTTGATCTATATCTCACAGTCAGCCAAATGTTCAGACTGGATTTGGCATTTTTGTCTACCTTCCGAGTCCTTACCAAGGACCTGGGATAGGCAGGTGTGGATGTTTGATGGTATTACAGATCTCGTTGCAGGATGGAAGCAGTTCCTAGTCAGGCTGACTTTTGCAATTGACTAATAGTGAATTTGTCAATGCCAATGATGGTGTTCAAGTGGTGCTCCAGTTGTTTTGGGATTGCACCCAAGGCACCTATTACTATTGGTATACCCTTGCTTGCTTTTGCCACAATCTTTCTATTTCTATTTGTAGGTTTTTATATTTTGTTATCTTCTCCAGTTCTTTCCTGTCTCTTCTGCTGTCTCCAGGCACTGCCACGTCCACTATCCAGACTTTTTTGTCTTTCTTATCGAAAATTGTTAAGTCCATGGTGTTATGTGGCAGGTGCTTGTCTGTTTGAATTCTGAAATCTCAGAGCAGTTTTAACTTTGTCATTTTCTATGACTTTCTCTATTTTATGATCCCACCAGTTCTTGCTTACAGGCAAATGATATTTCTTGCAGATCTTCCAGTGCACCATTGTTGCTACTCTGTCATGCTGCTGCTTGTAGTCAGTCTGTGCGATCTTCTTGCAGCAGCTTACCAGGTGGTCCACTGTTTCTTCAGCTTCTTTGCATAGGCGGCACTTACTGTCTGTTGCTGTCTTCTCAATTTTGACTTTATATGCATTTGTCCTTAAGGCTTGGTATGTTGATAATGATGATGATGTCTCTTGTGTACAAATTATTAATGTATTCACAGATATCAGTTATCACATCAGTATAAAGACGGGAGATGTCCCAGGAGCCAGTTCAGATTCAAAGGTTTTGATCAAGCTGTACGGTGAAAAAGCAGACACCAAAAAGGAATTTCTTCTAGTTTCCGATAATGACTTAGGAAATTACTTTGAACGTAGCCGGATAGATATCTTTACTCTGGATACAATGGACATTGGGAAGGTAAGAAAGATCTGAAATTATGATGCAGACTAAGAACTGACTGCAGGTTTTTTTTAGTGAAAATGCTTTTAAGAGTTTTTGAAAAAAAAACCTGCACAGATATACTGTACTTCAATAGTAGTATGAATGGATGAAATTCAGTGAAATTCAATGGTGTGAAAAGTAACTTTCTACATTTAGGCAAGAAAAACCAAATGCACAGGTATAGAATAGGTGGTACCTGGCTCAATAGGAGTAACTGCTAGACCAGCGGTTCTCAACCTGTGGGGTTGGGACCCCATTTGGGGTCGAACGACCATTTCACGGGGGTCGCCAAACAACGCAGTCCACCATTTTTTCCACCTTTTCCTTAGCTGTGCTACTCCCTTTTATTCTATTGGCTTTTGAAAGCCAATAGAATAGACTCTCTTGAATAGAGTCTAATTCTATTGGCTTTCCAAAGCCAATAGGAAGTGTCCAGGCTGTCTCTGCCCTGCTGAGCCCGCCAAAAGTCCCAGTCTGCAAACGGTGCTGCACCAGTTGAGTAGTCCTCGACTTACGACCGGTTGAGTAGTCCTCGACTTACGACCGGTTGGGGGTCGCGGCATTAAAAAGATTGAGAACCACTATGCTAGAGGGATGTTGGAGTCCTAGTAGACAATCATTTAAACAATCACTTAAATACGAGCCAGCTGCGTGCTGCAGCTGCCCAAAACACCAGCGCAATCCTAAACTGCATTGACAGAAGGGATAGAATCAAGATCACGTGAAGTGTTAATACCACTTCTGGGCCCAGTGCTCTTCAACATCTTCATCAAGGATTTAGGTGATTTACAGACGACACCAAGCTGGCAGGAATAGCCAACACTCCAGAAGACAGGCTTAAGATATAGGAGGATTTAGACAGACTTGAACACTGGGTGCTATCTTACAAAATGAAATTCAATGGTGAAAAAAGTAAGGTTCTACATTTAGGCAAGAAAAACCAAATGCACAGGTATAGTATAGGGAGTACCTTGCTCAATAGTAATAACTGTGAGAGGGACCTTGGAATCCTAGTAGACAATCACCTAAATAGGAGCCAGCCGTGTGCTGCAGCTGCCAAAAAGGCTAACACAGTGCTAGGCTGCATTAACAGAGGGATAGAATCAAGATCATATGAAGTATTAATACCACTTTACAAGGCCTTGGTAAGGCCACACTTGGAATACGGCATCCAGTTTTGGTCACCACGATGTAAAAAAGATGTTGAGACTCTAGAAAGAGTGCAGAGAAGAGCAACAAAGATGATCAGGGGACTGGAGGATAAAACATATAAGGAACGGTTGCTAGAATTGGGGATGTCCAGTTTAACAAAGAGAAGGACCAGGGGGGACATGATAGCAGCCTTCCAATATCTCAGGGGCTGCCCCAAAGAAGAGGGAGTCAAGCTACTCTCCAAAGCACCTGAAGGCAGGACAAGAAGCAACGGATGGAAACTCATCAAGGAGAGAAGCAACCTAGAACTAAGGAGAAACTTCCTGACAGTCAGAACAATTAACCAGTGGAACCACCTGCCTCCAGAAGTTGTGAATGCTCCAACACTGGAAGTTTTTAAGAAGAGACTGGACAGCCATTTGTCTGAAATAGTACAGGTTCTCCTGTTTGAGCAGGGGGTTGGAATAGATGACCTCCAAGGTCCCTTCCAACTTTTTATTATTATTATTATTATTATTATTATTATTATTATTATTATTATTATGGATCATCGCACAGTCAGCCAGATGTTCAGACTGGATTTGGCATTTTGTCTACCTATCGAGTCCTTACCCAGGACCTGGGATAGGCAGATGTGGATGTTTGATGGTATTACAGATATCGTCGCAGGATGGAAGCAGTTCCTAGTAAGGCCGCCTTTTGCAATTGACTAATAGCGAATTTGTCAATGCCAATGGTGTTCAAGTGGTGCTCCAGTTGTTTTGGGATTGCACCTAAGGAGCCTATGACTATTGGCACTACCCTTGCTTGCTTTTGCCACAGTCTTTCTATTTCTATTTGTAGGTTTTGTATTTTGTTATCTTCTCCAGTTCTTTCTCATCTATTCTGCTGTCTCCAGGCACTGCCATTATTATTATTATTATCATTCATCGCACAGTCAGCCAGATGTTCAGACTGGATTTGGCATTTTGTCTACCTATCGAGTCCTTACCCAGGACCTGGGATAGGCAGATGTGGATGTTTGATGGTATTACAGGTATCGTCGCAGGATGGAAGCAGTTCCTAATAAGGCCGCCTTTTGCAATTGACTAATAGCAAATTTGTCAATGCCAATGGTGTTCAAGTGGTGCTCCAGTTGTTTTGGGATTGCACCCAAGGAGCCTATGACTATTGGTACTACCCTTGCTTGCTTTTGCCACAGTCTTTCTATTTCTATTTGTAGGTCTTTGTATTTTGTTATCTTCTCCAGTTCTTTCTCTTCTATTCTGCTGTCTCCAGGCACTGCCACGTCCACTATCCAGACTTTTTTGTCTTTCTTATCGACAATTGTTAAGTCTGGGGTGTTATGTTGCAGGTGCTTGTCTGTTTGAATTCTGAAGTCCCAGAGCAGTTTAATTTTATCATTTTCTATGACTTTCTCTATTTTATGATCCCACCAGTTTTTGCTTACAGGCAAATGATATTTTTTGCAGATCTTCCAATGCACCATTGTTGCTACTTTGTCATGCCGCTGCTTGTAATCAGTCTGTGCAATCTTCTTGCAACAGCTTACCAAGTGGTCCACTGTTTCTTCAGCTTCTTTGCATAGGCGGCACTTACTGTCTGTTGCTGTCTTCTCAATTTTGACTTTGTATGCATTTGTCCTTAAGGCTTGGTCTTGTGCAGCCAGAATTAGTCCCTCGGTCTCTTTCTTCAATTTTCCTGCTCTTAGCCATTGCCAGGTTTTATTATTATCTGCTTTCCCAGCTATTTTTTTCATGTATTGGCCATGTAGTGCTTTGTCTTCCCATGCCTCTATTCTGTTCTTCATTTGGTCTTTCTTGTAGGCCAGTTTGGTCTCTCCAGTAGTTAGTAAGCCTTCCTGATATACTAATTTCAGTGCATCTTCATCATTGTTCTTCAGATATTCTTCCAAAGCCATTTTTTCTTCTTCAACCATCTGATGTACTTGTAGCATTCCACGCCCACCTATTTGCCTTGGTAGATAAAGTCTATCAATGTCACTGCGTGGATGAAGGGCATGATTCATTGTCATTATTTTTCTGGTCTGCCTATCCATTGCTTTTAGTTCTGCTTGAGTCCAGTCCACTATTCCAGCTGTGTACCTAATGACTGGGATTGCCCAGGTGTTGATTGCCTTTATGGTATTTCCTCCATTGAGTTTGGATTTTAAGATCTTCTTCACTCTCTTGATGTATTCACCTCTAATCTTTTTCTTGACTTCAGTGTGCTTGATGTTGTCAGCTTGAAGGATACCCAAGTATTTGTAGTACTCTTCCTCATCCAGACTCTTAATGTTATTTTCGTGGGGCATCTTGATTCCTTCAGTTTTCACTATTTTTCCTTGTTTGATAGTAAGTGTGGCACATTTGTCCAAGCCAAACTCCATTACAATATCTTGGCTATATATACGGACAGTGTTGAGCAGCGATTCTATTTCAGATGATGTTTTTCCATACAGCTTCAGATCATCCATGTAAAGGAGGTGGGATAGTCTAGCAGATGTTTTTGATGTTTGATAGCCATGTCCTGAGTTATTCAGTATTGTTGACAGAGGAAACAGTGCAATAACAAATAGTAATGGTGATAATGAATCTCCTTGAAATATTCCTCTCTTGATATTAACCTCTCCCAGCTTCTCACCATTGATCTGCAACTGTGTCTTCCATTGTGCCATCGATCTTTGCACAAATTTTCTGATGTTTCTACTGACTCCTGTTATTTCTAGGCACTTGATTATCCAATCATGTGGCAGAGAGTCAAATGCCTTTTTGTAGTCAATCCATGCCACATTCAGGTTGGTCTTCCTTCTCTTGCAGTTTTCCAAGATCATTTTGTCTATTAGGAGTTGATCTTTTGTTCCTCTGCTATTGGGGCGGTTTCCTTTCTGCTCAGGTGGAAAGAGATTGTTTTCAACTAGATGCTGTTGTACTGCATCAGCTACCACACCAGTTAGTAATTTGAAAGTTGTTGGTAAGCAGGTAATTGGCCTGTAGTTACCTGGTGTTGCCCCTTTTGCTGGATTTTTCATTATTAGGTAGGTTTTCCCAGTTGTTAGCCACTTTTCAATTTCTCCTCCTTGTAGTATATTGTTGAACTGCTTGGCAATGAGTGGGTGTATAACAGTTAGATGTTTCAACCAAAACCCATGCAGTTCATCTTCACCTGGTGCTGACCAATTTTTGATTTTCTTTGCTCTTTTTTCTACCATTTTTGTTGTTATTACTAGTTCTTTCATTTCAACTTCTGTTTTATTTGCATCCACCTCTTTTAACCAAGCCGCATCCTTGTTGTATTTCTTTGGGTTATCCCATATCTGCTTCCAGAACTGCACTGTTTCTTCCTTGTCAGGTACTGACTGATTCCTTGCAGTTTCTCCATTGATGGATTGGTAGAAACGTTTCTGATTGGATTGAAATTGGAGGTTCTGCCTATAGTTTGCAATTCGAGCTTCATATCTACTGATTTTCCTGGCTATAGCTGTTATTTGTTGCTTTATTATTTCCAGTGCTTCCTTGATCTTCCTTGTTTCTAAGTGGTATTTCTTGATTAGGTATTCTTTGGTCTTCTTGTTCTTCAGCTTCTTTTCTTTCATCTGTTCTAGCTTGCTTGCATGTGATCTTAACTTGCTGATCTTATTTTCTAGTCTAACCTTCCATTTTTCTGGTGCACTGTTTGTTTGTTTTTCTTTTTGTTGATTTTGCATCCCAGGTATTCTGTTATAACTGCAGCTGTGCTGTACATTAGTTGGTTTGTTTCTTGCAGTGAATTGGTGCTTATACTTGCTATTGCAGTATTTGCATCTTTTAATGCTTGTGCTAGCTGTTTCTTTGGAACAAGCTTCAATGCAGGCAGCCTTATTCTGTTGTTTTTGTGCTGTTCTAGATGCTCAGTTATTCTTTGTTTCAATTCTTTTATTTCTTTAGTTAGAGGGTTTTGTTCTTCCTGAGGAAGAGGTGCCTGGTTTCCAAATGAGAACAGTTGTATATCTCTGCTGGATTCCTTCACTGCCAACTCCCCCTGGTTTGCCTCTACATTCTGAATTACTTCTTGTAAGGCTTTGATTTCTTTGCCCTGGGTAAACCTTTGCAGTTCGTCCAATTCTGTTTCTGTGAATACTTTATTTCGTGTTATAAATCGGCGTTGATCTGCTAGTCTCTGTTCTGTTATTTCTGATTCTGGATGTTGTTCTTTCCAGAATTCGTGCATTCGTTTTAGATATCCTCGTCTTGTTGGACTTGATCTGTAGTAACAGATCATTATTTCTTTGTTTTCCATCACTGTGTATCTGCGACGGGTAAACACCTTTTCTTCCAGTAGTTCTGCAGCTGCTGGCCCTGGTTGCTCAGCCAACAGTCCTGAGTCCTGTAACCCATTTTTCACCAGATATCCAGGAACTCCAATATCTAGTGCGGACCTTGTTAACCCGGGCGACGTCCGAGCCGGTATGGCATTCTGAAATTTACGTCTCACCATATTTTTTATGGGAGAGACACTCTTTGTCTGACTCCTCTGATGAGACCTGTCCAGTATGGTTGAACCTCTGGCATAGCTCTCATCTTCCTCAGAGTACACAAGCCCCACAACCATGTCAAGGTAGTGCCTCACTGGGGGATTATTATTATTATTATTATTATTATTATTATTATTATTATATGTATGCTTTTAAGAATTGCACATGGAGGTTATTCTCCTGCGTGAGTGAGGTCCACCAGCCTTTGCAAACGCTTTGCTCCAATAAAACTTTGTTCCTGGAATCCCAAATGAGTTCGTTTGTCTTGGGAATCCAGACATAATAAAACGTCGGCAAGAAAACAACGGAGGTCCGAGAGCACCAAAGACTTGTTTATTTCAACCCTGAATTACAAATATTCTCCTATTTAGCCCACATCTACCAGGAAATGTTGATGAAGTGCTGAAAACCCATAAGGCTGCTTGCTTTACCAACCCAATCACCGCAGCAGTGGATCTTTTAAAAAGGTATACACACTGTTCTTCTTTCCTGACTTCCCCACTTCCTTCCTCCCTCTTTGTTTTCTGAAGATCCACCGGATTCTCATCGGGCACGACAATGTGGGCCTCCAAGCAGGCTGGCACCTTGGCAGCGTTCAGATTATTATCCCCGTCCACGGCAAGATGTACAACTTCCCCTGCAACCGATGGCTTGACAAAAACGAAGCTGACGGGAAGGTACAGATTGAGGTTTATCCCAGCGAAATCATGGAGATTGAGAAATGTAAGGGATGGAGTGTTTGTTTATTGTCTGTGTCTATCTGTCTGTCTGTCTACCTACCTACCATCTATCTATCTGTCTGCCTGTCGGTCTGCCTGTCTATCTGTCTCTATCTCTATTTCTATCAACTATTTGCTATCTATTTCTTTCTTTTCTTCTATCTATCTATCTATCTATCTATCTATCTATCTATCTATCTATCTATCTATCTATCTATTTATCTATCTACCTACCTACCTACCTACCTACCTACCTACCTACCTACCTACCTACCTATCTATCTATCTATCTATCTATCTATCTATCTATCTATCTATCTATCTATCTATCTATCTATCTATCGATATTCTATCCATCCATATCTATCTATCATCTATCTATCTATCTATCTATCTATCTATCTATCTATCTATCTATCTATCTATCTATCTATCTATCTATCTGTCTGTCTGCCTGTCAGTCTGCCTGTCTATCTGTCTCTATCTCTATTTCTATCAACTATTTGCTATTTCTATTTCTTTCTTCTATCTATCTATCTATCTATCTATCTATCTATCTATCTATCTATCTATCTATATTCTATCTATCTATCTATCTATCTTCTATCAATATCTATCTATCTATCTATCTATCTATCTATCTATCTATCTATCTATCTATCTATCTATATTCTATCAATATCTATCTATCTATCTATCTATCTATCTATCTATCTATATTCTATCAATATCTATCTATATCTATCTATCTATCTATCTATCTATCTATCTATCTATCTATCTATCTATCTATTTTCCTATATCTGCAGTATCTCTATCTTTTTACAGTGTTTATATCTATCTGTATCTATGTATCTATATATCCATCCATCCATCCATCCATCCATCCATCTATCCATCTATCTATCTATCATCCATTATCTATCTATCTATCTATCTATCTATCTATCTATCTATCTATCTATCTATCTATCTTATTTATTCTATATTTCATATTTCTTAACCAACCATCTCCCTCAGAGAGGGGCACTGGGCGGTGTACAATATCATCAACACAATTAAGCATTGAAATTAGAATAATTTAGGATTAAGTTTTTTTAAAAAAAATTTATTTTAGCCAAAAGAAAATGAAAAATGGAAAAATGAACAAAAACAAAACAAAACTAGACAAGAACATTACAAAAACCTGAAATGAAAAAATGAACTTCTCTACCACAGATCCCTGCAATCATTGTCTCCCATTCCATCCAGATCAAATACCCTCCTCTGGCTCTTAATAATGAAACCTCTCCTTGGGAGTCTATTTATAAATTATGTGCCTACTTCGCAAGGAGAGGTGGGAGGGGGGAAAATTATTGTTTTTTAAATATATTTATCAATAGTCAACTAAGGGCAACCATTTGTGTATAAACTTGTTTTGTTTTTTCTTTTTATGCACTTTTTTTTCCTTTGTGTGGTCTTGTCTAGTTTTGTTTTGTTTTAGGTTTTTTTTTTTGCTTTTTATTTCTTTCTTTCTGGAGTTTGTATTTTAATGTTTTAAAAAAGAATAAAAAGAAAAGAAAAAAAGTCCCATCCAAATATTACTTAGTTTTCTTAAGGTCATGTAGGGTAGATAGATGGCAGGGGTTGGACTAGAAGACCTCCAAGATCCCTTCCATCACCATCATCATCATCATCTTCTTCTTCTTCTTCTTCTTCTTCTTCTTCTTCTTCTTCTTCTTCTTCTTCTTCTTCTTCTTCTTCTTCCTCTCCTCCTCCTCCTCCTCCTCCTCCTCCTCTTCCTCTTCCTCTTCCTCTTCTTCTTCTTCAAGCTCAGAAAACACCAAGGACCCCACAGTCATCGTTGTCCTCCTCCTCCTCCTCCTCCTCCACCACCTCTTCTTCTTCTTCTTCTTCTTCTTCTTCTTCTTCTTCTTCTTCTTCTCTTCTTCTTTCTTCTTCTTCTTCTTCTTCTTCTTCTTCTTCTTCTTCTTCTTCTTCTTCTTCTTCTTCTTCTTCTTCTTCTTCTTCTTCTTCTCCTCCTCCTCCTCCTCCTCCTCCTCCTCTTGTTGTTGTTGTTGTTGTTGTTGTTACTGTTATTATAGTATAGAAATAGGAAGTGAAGGAAATGAAAGGCTGAGGAGAAATTGGCTACCATTTGAGAGGAATTAATCCCTGTCAGGTGGATGTTTGAAAAAAAAAAAAAGAATCAAAGTCTTCGGTGCTCATTCCTGCAAAAGATAAATGATGCCTGAATCATTATAAGATGCAATTAAATATTATTCTGTATCACTGAGTTTCAGGTATTTATTTATTTTTTTAAAAAAGAACAACTCCCCAAAGAAATTCTCTAGTTGTTATACAGATTTTTCCCCCCTTACACTTGTGGTTTTATATACAAAAAAATAACCTCATGCTTGTATGCACCTGTCCTAAATTATCTTTTTCTTGGAACATACCCTAAATGTATCCTTTTTTTTCGTGTGACCTCATACATTTCATCTATATTTATTGAGATGGTTTATAATATGGCCACCCAGCAATGTGTCGCTATCTGTAAAAACCTAAAAACAGAAAGCGGGAACAAAAACACCGCGATGCAGAATAAGCATCTTCCATTCCAAGTCATTTCAGGTCAGGGTCAGCTAACATCTGGCCAAGTGCGTGAGGGAAACATCTGGCTTTCCAGGCCTTGTGGAAGGCTAACAGGACCAGAGCTTTCTCCCTCTTGGTTGAACGCTGCACTTAAGAGCAGGCCTTCCTTTCGTTTCATTTCGTAGGGCAGAGCAAAAGGCAGCACGGTGCTTAAAATCCACACAAACCGCCTAAAAAGGACGTCTCCAAATTTTAAAGAAAACCAAAGCAATGAATTTATTTATTTATGTATTTGTTGTTATATAAAATTTTATTAGTTTTTATAGGGTTAGGGATAAGGTGGGGTCGGGATTAAAGTTAGGGTTGGGGACCCCCTGAATTATGGGCAGAGGATGCTAAGGGCAGAACTTCAGATCATCCTTTTGCCTTTGAATGCTCACTTCTCTTCTGCTTGATTTCCATTCCTCCCTCTGAATAAGCCAGAAGAATTAAGGGGTGTGTAAAGCAAGATGAGAAGGGAGGGAAAGGGAGAGAGAGAGAGAGAGAGAGAGAGAGAGAGAGAGAGAGAGAGAGAGAGAGAGGGAGGGAGGGAGGGAGGGAGAAACCCTTATAATTAAGGTGACCAACTTTTTTACAATGAAAAGGAGGACACAAATAAATAGAAGAAAAAAATATTGTAAAAGCTGGCTTGGCCCATGGAAGGTCAACCGCCCACTGCGCCCCCGCTCACAGCCACCCCACCAGCACCACTGCCCTGCCATGTAGAGCGGGCCCCGCAGCTCCCAAAGCACCAGCTGCGCCAGCTCTGGCCCTGGGGGGGAGCCCGCCATTGACACACCCCGCCCACAGCCGCCAAGCCAGCACTACTGCCCCATGTAGAGCGGGCCCCGCAGCTCCCAAAGTACCAGCTGCACTGGCCCCGGGGGGCAGCCCGCCATCAACATACCCCGCCTGCAGCCGCCTCGCCAGCACCACCGCCCACCCTGCACAGCCCCGTGTAGAGAGGGCCCCGCGGCTCCCACAGTACGGGGGGCGGCCGGCTGCTGCTGCCCCTCATAATCCTGCCCGCAGCACCCCTGCTGCCCCTGCCTCTTGCACCCGCAGCCATTATTGCCCTAGCAGAGCCGAAGATCAAGAGAAACTTACCGCTCCAGTGTCCTCCAGGTATCTTCGGAACTAACTAGGAAATGGCGTAGTTGGGTAGCAGGGAGGGGTGCAAAGTTCCTGCCAATTCACCTTCGCTGCAGACAACTTGCATGTGCAAAGTTTGCCAGCCGGGTGTTTTGGTGCGCTCAGCAGCAATTCCTATTGGCTTTCGAAAGCCAATAGGGGGAGTAGCACAGCTCATGCAAAAGTTGGAAAAAAAAACCATAAAAAAAAAGGTGCCGGAACACCGTTCTGAGCGTTCTATGAGGGAAAAAAAGCCCTGCAGATTAGTCTTCAAATATCAAAAAGGAGGACATGTAGGAGGACACTTTTCAAGGGAGGACAGAACTCACAAAAGGAGGAATGTCCTCCCTAAAGGAGGACAGTTGGTCACCTTATTATAATTGTGAAAAGACCTCTCTGCAAGACGTTGAACCCACGCTCTGGATTTCTACGTTTCAATTATTCTCAGCTGCATTTCTCTCTCTTCTGCTCTAAACAAGTGATCAACTATGAGATCTGTACCGTTACCGGAGACGTGCGGAACGCGGGCACCAACGCGAAAGTCTTCCTGCAGGTTTACGGTGAGCTGGGTAAGACGGAGGTCCTTATTTTGAAGAACAGGTCCAACAACCACGAGCGCAGAGCCTCGGAAAAATTCAAGGTATGCTCATGTTAGGATCACGAGGGAATTCTAACGTCCATTTGCAAAGATCCCGAGATACCACCACCATCTTGTTATGTTTTACTTTTAGACTTAGATGATGCTGATGTGGGGGGGGGGTGGAGGAATGTGCATGAGAGTTTAGCTAGACATAACAATACTGGACCTAGTCTGTGAACCAAGGTTATTGAAATAAGAGATGATAAGAATTGGCGGGCTGGAGAACTGGAGGGAAAGCCTGCATTTCAAACTGTGGTCAAAGCATCTGATGTTAGCAGCGTTGACACTCTAAATCAGTGATGGCGAAACTTTTAGAGACGGAGTGCCCAAACTGCAACCCAAAACCCACTTATGCATCATTGGGTGCCAGGTGGGCATGGCCCATTGGCTGGGTGTGGCCCATTGGGTGGGCATGGCTGCAGTGGTAACGGCAGACTGGGTGGGATTAAAAAGTTCAATCAATCAATTCCAATTTCGTGAGATCTTTTTTTTTCCCGTGAGAAGTTGAAGTTGACTAATTGATTAAACCTTTTTTTTTTGGGCACATGGCGGTGGAGGCCTAAAGTGAAAAGGTTTTATACAGTGGTTCTCAACCTTTTTAATGCCGCGACCACCAACCGGTCGTAAGTCGAGGACTACTCAACCAGTCGTAAGTCGAGAACTACTCAACTGGTGCAGCACCGTTTGCAGAATGGGACTTTTGGCGGGCTCAGCAGGGCAGAGACAGCCTGGACAATTCCTATTGGCTTTTGAAAGCCAATAGAATTAGACTCTATTCAAGAGAGTCTATCCTATTGGCTTTCAAAAGCCAATAGAATAAAAGGGAGTAGCTCAGCTAAGGAAAAGGGGGGAAAAAATGGCGGACTGCGTTGTTTGGTGACCCCCGTGAAATGGTCGTTCGACCCCAAATGGGGTCCTGACCCACAGGTTGAGAACCACTGGTTTTATAAAACCCAGCTGAAGGCCTAGGATTGGGACGATGGTGCATGTGCCCACAGAGAGGGCTCTGCGTGCCACCTGTGGCACACATGCCATAGGTTCGCCACCATGGCTGTAGATGATATTTGCGCAACCTTTTGGCTTGCCTGGGCCACATTGAGTGATGAGGAATTGTCTTGGGCCACCTGTAAAATACATACTATTGTTTTATAATATAAAATTAAAGGCCTGGAGACTGAAACGTACGAAGAACGGCTGCAGGACTTGGGTTTGGCCAAGCCTCTGAATGTTGATCACGTGATGAGGGTGAAGCTGCCATGGTTGTAAGTGTGAAGAACAGTCATAAGTTGCTTTTTTTCCAGTGCCATTGTAGCTTTGAGTGGTTACTAAATGAACTGTTGTAAATCAAGGACTACCTGTAGCTTCCCAAAGGTGACAACCGTAAGAGCACATAGAAAATGGAAGTTTTTTTTTTTAATGGCATCTTCCAGCAGCAAAGCTTGCCAAGATGTTCCAGAACAATTCACCAACATGCTGGAAATGTAAAAAAAGTACACGGAACATATTATCATTTATGGTGGACATGCCCAGTTGCGAAAAAATACTGGACTACAACAAGAAAATGGATCGAAGAAATAATAGATCAACCCATAGATTGGAAACCAGAGATCTTTTTGTTGGGTATTTTAAACAGAAAATATAGTAAAGGAATATGGTACTTAATTTTACATATAATAACGGCGGCAAGAATAGCATATGCACAGTGCTGGAAAAATGAGAATATACCATCAGAGGAAGAAGTGATAAGAAAAATCCTGGACTGTGCTGAGATGGACAAATTAACAAAAGAGATAAAAGAAAAGGAAGACACAGAGTACTATATGGAACAAGTGGTATGACTGGTTGGAGACCAGAAATAATAGAGGAGAATAAATATGGAAAGGTCAAAAGTGAAAATATGTGTATAATAATGAATAATAATAATAATATGAATTATTCTTAGTAAGAAGTAGAATATGAAAGAAGAAAAGGGTAAATAAGAAACAACGGGGCAATAAGGACAAATATTCTAAAGAAGAATAAGGGGGGAAATGTAAATAATGGAAGATTACCGTTACGTAATTGCTGTTAAAAAAAGGGGAGAGGAGTATATACTGTGTGTGTATGTGTGTTATGTTTTGCTTTGTTTTGTTTTGTTGGTTAAAAATAAAATTAAAAAAAAAAAGAAAATGGAAGTTTTTGGTTCTCACACCAAGTCCAGTATTATTATGTCTATCTAAACTCTCATGCACACTCCTCTCCCCCCACAGCATCATCTAACTCTAAAAATAAAACATAAATAGTAATAGCAATAGTAGTAAAGTTGGAAGGGTCCTTGGAGGTCATCTAGTCCAACCCCCTGCTCAGGCAGGAAACCCTACACCATTTCGGACAAATGGCTGTCCAGTCTCTTCTTAAAAACTTCCAGTGTTGGAGCATTTACTGCTTCTGGAGGCAGGTTATTCCACTGATTAATTGTTCTCACTGTCAGGAAGTTTCTCCTTAGTTCTAGGTTGCTTCTTTCCTTGATTAGTTTCCACCCATTGCTTCTTGTCCTGCCTTCAGGCGCTTTGGAAAATAGCTTGATTCCCTCTTCTTTATGGCAGCTCCTGAGATATTGGAAGACTGCTATCATGTCCCCCCTTGTCCTTCATTAAACTAGACATACCCAATTCTAGCAATCGTTCCTTATATGGAAAATGGTTGCAACTCCATATGTTGTCAAAGCAAAAACATCTGGTTAGCAGCGTTGACAGTTATTATCAGGATTAATGAAATTAGTGCCATGCAACAGTCTTTTTTTTTTGTAAAAAAAATGACATTTTACTGCTCCCATTTATTACTCCCCTTAAAGATAGAAGCTGTTGATGTTGGCAGAATCTATAAGATCCGAATTGGCCACGATGGCGCGGGTTTTGCAGACGGATGGTTCCTGGAAAACGTCGTCATTAAAAAAATGGGGACAAAGACCAGCAGGGTAGGAAAAAAGAAGAAAAAGAAGAAAAAGATATCCACAGAAGAGAAAGAAGAAGAGGAGACGCACCAGACAGATGCTTTGCAGGTTTATAACTTTGTAGCCCACCGTTGGCTGGCGAGTGACGAAGAGGACAAGGAACTGGTTGTGGAATTGACACCAGAAGAGGCATCTGAGCTTGAAGGTGAATGGGGAACCATCATTGTCTATACTTTTGTGACCATGTTCTAGCATAACCAGCTTTACGGAGGTGTCCTTTAACTGTTCAGTTCAGAGAACTGAAATCGAATGCGTTTGGAAAGGACCGTGCTAGGGAAAGTTCCTTTAGGGTCGTGGTGCAAAATGTATGGTCTGCCTGGTATCGCTTTTTGTGGTCCTCAAAGCCCAAGGAGAGGGGGCAAAGAAAAAGAATGGATTCTTTGGTTTCCGTTGTTGGTGTTGGGGTAGGATTAAGGGGCAAAAGGATGATGATGATTAGAACAGAACAGAACAGAACAGAATAGAACCGAATAAAATAAAAAAATATGGAATGGAATGGAATACATGGAATAGAATAGAGTAGAATAGAATAGAATAGAGTAGAATAGAATAGAATAGAATAGAATAGAATAGAATAGAATAGAATAGAATAGAATAGAATAGAATAGAATAGAATAGAATAGAAAACATGGACTGGACTAGAATAGAATAGAGTGGAATGGAATGGAACGGAACAGAAAATAATAGAATGGAATGGAATGGAGTGGAGTAGAGTAGAGTAGAGTAGAGTAGAGTAGAGTAGAGTAGAATAGAATAGAATAGAATAGAATAGAATAGAATAGAATAGAATAGAATAGAATAGAATAGAATAGAATAATGGAATGTAGAATAGAATAGAATAGAAATAGAACAGAACAGAACAGAACAGAACAGAATAGAATAGAATAGAATATATGGAATGCAACGGAACAGAAAATAATAGAATAGAATAGAATAGAATAGAATAGAATAGAATAGAATAGAATAATGGAATGTAGAATAGAATAGAAATAGAACAGAACAGAACAGAACAGAACAGAATAGAATAGAATAGAATAGAATAGAATAGAATAACAGAATTGGAAGGGACCTTGGAGGTCTTCTAGTCCAGCCCCCTTCTCAAGCAGGAGAACCTGTACCATTTCAGACAAATGGCTGTCCAGTCTCTTCTTAAAAACTTCCAGTGTTGGAGCATTCATCGCTTCTGGAGGCAGGTTGTTCCACTGATTAATTGTTCTAACTGTCAGGAAGTTTCTCCTTAGTTCCAGGTTGCTTCTCTCCTTGATGAGTTTCCCTCCGTTGCTTCTTGTCCTGCCTTCAGGCGCTTTGGAGAACAGCTTGACTCTCTCCTCCTTGTAGCAGCATCTCAAATACTGGAATATTTGAAAAGCTGCAAACAAGGAATAAAAAGAATAAAAGGCCATTAAAGAAAAAACGAGCTAGAATTAAGGAGAAATTACGCGACATTGAGAACAATTAATCCGTGGGAGGGATTGTTTCCAGACGTTGTGGGTGCTTCAACACTGGAGGATTTTAAGAAGAGACTGGACAACCACTTGTCCAGATTGGTATAGGGTCTCCTGCCTGAGCAGAGGGTTGGACTAGATGACCTCCAAGGTCCCTTCCAAATCTATTATTCTATGTTCTATGAACATACAACTCTCTAAACCTGCTTCGATAGCTATTGGGACCTCTGTAAGGACTCACTACTCAAATTTGGCATGAAAGCTGTGATTTTTGGTGACTCCTTCTGGCCTTTTTAATGACAGGCAAAAAAAAAAGAGATGAAAAGAACTGTATTAACATGCACGAGGCACCATAGCCCTATTTTGTTTTAAGTGTAATTCCAAACCACCCAAATACAAAAAAGGGGGGGTGGAGGCAGGGTAAATAAATTCAACCCCATCTCTCTAGGATGACAGCCTGTTATCATTAATCTTGTTCAGTCTTCAAAGGCTGAGAAAGATTTTTAAAAAAACTTTTCCAACCAAAGAACAATGCTACCCTTTTTTGCTTGTATGCTTTGTTTTTTTTAAAAAAAATATTTTATTAAGTTTTTTCAAGATGGGAAAAAGCAAAGGTAATTATGAGTGGTGGGGTTCAGGGTAGGGTTCAAGGGAAGATTTAGGGTGGGGATGGGTACACCAATGAGGTTGCCCCCAATAACATTTCACGGTTTAACAAGCAAGACATCATCCAGATACAAGTATTCCACAGGGCTAATATAACAATCAGTAACTGTAGTCCACAAAAGTAACAGAAATTATAAAGCATATCAATTAATCAAAAGAAAAAAAATCAATCATCTTAACAAATTTCAGTTTCATTATCTCATTTTGCTAACCATTGATAAAAGTTTTTCCATGTTTTATAATAGACTGAGTCTTCTTTCTCTTTAATCTCTAATGTTAATCTATCCATTTCTGCACATTCTAAAATTTTCCTAATTATAATCTCATCTGATAGTATATCTTCATTTTTCCAGTATTGGCAAATGCTATTCTTGCAGCTGTCAATCTATGTGATATTAAATACTTGTTCTCTTTCCCATAATTAGATCCTAATTATTCCTTGCAGAAACAATTCTGGCCTAAATTCTATGTATATTTTAGTTATCTTTTCCAGCCATATATAAATCTCACGCCAGAATTTCTCTGCACTGGGGCACACCCACCAGATGTGATAATAAGTGTCTGGTTTTTGTTTACACTTCGAACAGTTATTCTTGATAAATTAAACTCAGCCTAGTTCTGAGCTGAAAGAGACCATGTGACAAAAACTGATTTAACACTGTCCGGGATATTATTGCCTTAGGATCATTCTTCCAGACAACTGAGTTTTCTTGAATAAAGAAAAAAAAAACCTAACCCTTATATTATATTTCTCTCCATTCTCAGAGCAGCTGGCAGAGATGAGTTGACTAACCTTAAGTTAAGTTCCTCCAAAAGTCCATCTGCCTGCATTCAAAGCCTAAGTTATCCTCCGTTGTCCCGCCAAAGGCATATTGAATTGAGACAGTGGTTATGTGTGAAAAATGGTTGCGTAGTAAGTCACGGTTTTCAGTGCTGTTGCAACTTCAAACGGTCACTAGTTAAGTAGATGGAGAAATGAAACTTCTTCAATTCAGCTGCAGACAGTGGGAGCCTGAAGCCTTGTCAAGGACGCCAGGACGGGTGTGGATTTGAAGCAGACAGTTCCCATAACAAATTCGCCATTAGTCAATTGCAAAAGGCGGCCTTACTGGGAACTGCTTCCATCCTGCATATCTGTAATACCATCAAACATCCACATCTGCCTTTCCCAGGTCCTGGGTAAGGACTCGATAGGTAGACAAAATGCCAAATCCAGTCTGAACATCTGGCTGACTGTGCGATGATCCATAATAATAGTAATAAATGTTGGAAGGGACTTTGGAGGTCATCTAGTCCAATCACCTGCTCAGGCAGGAAACCCTATACTATTTCAGACAAATGGCTGTCCAGTCTCTTCTTAAAAACTTCCAGTGTTGGAGCATTCACAGCTTCTGGAGGCAGGCTGTTCCCCTTGTTAATTGTTCCTGACTGTCAGGAAGTTTCTCCTTAGTTCTAGGTTTGCTTCTCTCCTTGATTAGTTTCCATCCGTTGCTTCTTGTCCTGCCTTCAGGCGCTTTGGAGAATAGCTTGACTCCCTCTTCTTTGGGGCAGCCCCTGAGATACTGGAAGACTGCTATCCTGTCCCCACTCGTCCTTCTCTTCATTAAACTAGACATACCCAATTCCAGCAACTTTTCCTTATATGTTTTAGCCTCCAGTCCCCTGATCATCTTTGTTGCTCTTCTCTGGACTCTTTCTAGAGTCTCAACATCTTTTTTTACTTCATGATGACCAAAACTGGATGCCGTATTCCAAGGGTGGCCTTACCAAGGCCTTGTAAAGTGGTATTAACACTTCACATGATCTTGATTCTCTCCCTCTGTTAATGCAGCCCAGCACTGTGTGGGCCTTTTTGGCAGCTGCAGCACATGGCTGGCTCATATTTACTTAGCCACAGCCTATTTTGGTTTCAAACAAAGGAAGCAGCATCAGAAATTAAGAGTAAAGCATCAGTAAACCAAACAAGCTTCTCAGCTTGTTATACTGGTTTGTAATGAAAAAAAAAAATCAGATTTTCAGCAAAAAAAAAAAAAGTCTGAGGACCACTTGATTGACATGTTAATAATTTACTTTTTCTCTAGCAAACACCTACGAAGTCCATGTTATCACTGGGATGATATGGGGAGCTGGCACTGACGCAAATGTTTACTTGAGCATCTATGGTGAAAGAGGAGACACTGGGGAGCGCCACCTGAAGTACTCAAATCATCTGAACAAGTTTGAAAAGAAACAGGTAAATAGCCAAATAACAAAACTCCAAAGGATTTCCTCCATGTAGAAAGCTATCTATCTATCTGTCTGTCTATCTATCTATCTATCTATCTATCTATCTATCTATCTATCTATCTATCTATCTATCATCTATCATCTATCTATCTATCTTGTCTATCTATGTCTGTCTGTCTGTCTGTCTGTCTACCTGCCTGCCTGCCTGCCTGCCTACCTACCTACTTACCTACCTACCTACCTATCTATCTATCTGTCTGTCTGTCTATCTATCTATCTATCTATCTATCTATCTATCTAGTCTGTCTATCTGTGTCTGTCTATCTATCTATCCATCTATCCATCCGTCCATCCATCCGTCCGTCTCTCTCTCTCATCTATCTATCTATCTATCAATCTATCTATCTATCTATCTATCTATCTATCTATCTATCTATCTATCTATCTTGTCTGTCCATCCATCTATCTATCTATCTATCTATCTATCTATCTATCTATCTATCTATCTATCTATCCATCCATCCATCCATCCATCCATCCATC